GAATTATTTGTTCTTATGAAATGATAGAGAATCTTTTCCCGATGGTAATGACACCAAAAGTTCGAGATTTGGTCGAAAACTCATGGAATTACGCTCCCGCGAAGTTAGCGGTCTCGGCGACATATGCGTATCAGGGATTTCGCCGACTTTGAGCCCTATTTTCAGCCAATTCCGTTGTTCCAGTTGACCAAACTCGTAGCTATTTCTTTAGAACTCCATTTTGTCTATTCGCTGAGCACAAGAAACCTCCCATTTACCAATTTGAACTACCCAATATTGTGGTCAGAAATTGGCAATTTGGCCAATTTCACGCAAACTAAAAAAGATACCAATTTCAAAATAGGGTCCAGAATAAACAAGGTAGACATTCTTGGCACTAAAATAACATATCTTCTGTTCATTAGTCACATCTCTAGGCCCCTCTTATATTATTATTGCTTTTTATTTTGATTTTTTATTCATACAAAAAAATACAAAATTTACTGTTATGCAGACTACTGCATTATTGTAAAAATGGTATAAATAATATCAGTGCACTAGTGAAAGAATATTAGACTCCCCAGTTGACGTGTATTGGACGTGTGGTGTGATTTGTTTACTCCTGAACATTGGTAAAAATCGAACATTTCCGCTACTTTGAGCTCAGTTTCAAGGTCGTTTTCATCGACAAAGTAATAAAAATCATCTCTATTTCTGTAATATGTTTTCAATTTTATCACCTAAGACCATGAAAATGCAAATACATAGATAAATACTATACGAAAATACACCTCAAAGTCGGCGTTTTAATCCAAAAAAACGATCAGTTTTTTTTTCTCATTACGCACTGTGTACTGCAAGATTTTTTTTATGTGGTGCACACTGACCACACAGACCCATTCTCTCACATGTGGGCCTACCAGCTTTCTTCCGCTTGATTTGAAGCCGCTAGAATTATTGAGTATATATACGTCTGAAACACTGGCTCGTAAGACGTATATGTACGACCAAAACAGTCAAAGGGTTAATCTTGTCCCCCAGGATGCGACCCACACCAGTCGACTAACACCCAGGTGAACAGGAAAAAATGCCTGGAACTAGTGCTCATATTGGTGAATTTAAGGCCAGCAAAGGTTGGTTTGAGAGATTTAAGAATCATAGTGGCATACACAGTGTGATAAGGCATGGTGAAGCTGAAAAATTCTAACCCCAACAAGTGTTTAGTTGTGACGAAACAGGCCTGTTCTGGAAGAAAATGCCAAACAGGACGTACATTACTCAGGAGGAAAAGGCACTCCCAGGACACAAGCCTATGAAAGACAGGCTAACTCTCATGTTTTGTTGTAATGCTAGTGGGGATTGCAAAGTGAAGCCTTTACTCGTGTATCACTGAAAATCCCAGAGTGTTCAAGAAAAACAGTCTCATCACTTATCAGTACTCTTCAATAAAGGTGTCATTTTAGTATTTATTTATGTATTTATTCTGCATGTCTTATTGTTTTCTGTGTAGGGAAATGTATATTTCATGTAAAAAAAATTATTTTTTTTAATACTTTTGGGTGTCTGGAACGGATTAATTGGATTTCCATTATTTCTTATGGGGAAAATTAATTCGGATAACGATAAAATCGGTTAAGGACAAGCTCTCCGGAATGGATTAATATTGTTAACTGAGGGTCCACTGTATTCTACAAATCTTTCTCTGAACTTACAGAGGCTGTATGACCTTTATGGTTTAGTGCTTACGTATGATGATGATAATAATTAACTTAGAGATATCTGAGATATCTAATTTTTTGCTACAGTAACAGAACTATATTTTCTGTAATTTTCTGGGTCTTAGTTTTTTTTTTTTTTTTTTTTTTGTGTGTGTGTGTGTGTGTGTGTGTGTGTGTGTGTGTACTCACCTATTTGTACTCACCTATTTGTGGTTGCAGGGGTCGAGTCCTAGCTCCTGGCCCCGCCTCTTCACCGGTTGCTACTAGGCCCTCTCTCTCCCCGCTCCATGAGCTTTATCAAACCTCGTCTTAAAACTGTGTATGGTTCCTGCCTCCACTACGTCATTTTCTAGGCTATTCCACTGCCTTACAACTCTATGACTGAAGAAATACTTCCTACTATCTCTCTGACTCATTTGTGTCTTCAACTTCCAATTGTGGCCTCTTGTTTCTGTGTCCCCTCCCTGGAACATCCTGTCTTTGTCCACCTTGTCTATTCCACGCAGTATTTTATATGTCGTTATCATGTCTCCCCTGACCCTCCTGTCCTCCAGTGTGGTCAGGCCGATTTCCCTTAATCTTTCCTCATAGGACATTCCCCTTAGCTCTGGAACTAACCTTGTCGCAAACCTTTGTACTTTCTCTAGTTTCTTGACGTGCTTTATCAAGTGCGGGTTCCAAACAGGTGCTGCATACTCCAGTATGGGCCTGACATACACGGTGTACAGTGTCTTGAATGATTCCTTACTAAGGTATCGGAATGCTGTTCTCAGGTTTGCCAGGCACCCATATGCTGCAGCAGTTATCTGATTGATGTGTGCTTCCGGAGACATGCTCGGTGTTATACTCACCCCAAGATCTTTCTCCTTGAGTGAGGTTTGCAGTCTTTGGCCACCTAGCCTATACTCTGTCTGTGGTCTTCTGTGCCCCTCCCCCATCTTCATGACTTTGCATTTGGCAGGATTAAATTCGAGAAGCCATTTGCTGGACCAGGTGTCCAGTCTGTCCAGGTCTCTTTGAAGTCCTGCCTGGTCCTCATCAGATTTAATTCTCCTCATTAACTTCACATCATCTGCAAACAGGGACACTTCTGAGTCTAACCCTTCCGTCATGTCGTTCACATATACCAAAAATAGCACTGGTCCTAGGACCGACCCCTGTGGGACCCCGCTCGTCACAGGTGCCCACTGTGATACATCATTACGTACCATGACGTGTGTGTGTGTGTGTGTTTTAACCCTTTTATTGTTGCAACCCCTGCTTGCAAACTTGCTCCCAGGGTTGAAGAATTTTCAGAAATAAAATTATCTTATGAAATGCTAGAGAATCTTTTTCCAAAGGTAATTAAACTAAAAGTACAAAATTTGATGGAAAGCTTACGGAATTATGCTCTTGCAAAGTTAGTGGTCTCAGTGATATTTATGCATCAGCAATTTTGCCCACTTTATGCTCTATTTTTTGCCAATTCCATTGCTCCAAGTGACCAAACTCATAGCTATTTTGCTAGCATTTCTTTTATTCTATCAAATGAGTACAAGAAACTGCCCATTTACTTATTTCAACTACCCAATAAAGTGATCAGACATTGGTAATTTGGCGAATTTCACAGAAAATTCAGCAATTGCCAATTTGAAAATAGGGTCCAGAATAAACAATGTAGACATTCCTGGCACTAAATAAACATTTCCTCTGCTCCTTAGTCATCTCTCCAGGCCCCTCTTATATTACACTTGCTTTTCATTTTCAATTTTTATTCACACACACACAAAAAAAAAATAGAAAATTTACTTAATACATACTACTGCATTTTTATAATAATTGTATAAATATCAGTGCATTCCTAAATGCATATTAGACTGGCCAGTTGGGTGCATATTGGACAAGTTCACAGGTTATCTGAGTGAGCTGAGCTCATAGTGTCATACTATGGGACTTACACTGAAAGGGTTAAGTAGTATCAATATCTGCTGTGGCCCATGGACTAATTGTAATAATATTTTTTTAGCACTTCATAATCATTGTTTCTAAAGACTATTTTGATTTTTATTTCATCCTTCAGCCTTACCTTTGTATATAGTATTCATGAGATAACAAAAAAATTAGGTAACAGAAGATTGGATATTAGACTGGAGGGAGAGAGTACAGAGGAGGTAAATGTATTCAGATATTTGGGAGTGGACATGTCAGTGGATGGGTCTAAGAAAGATGAGGAAAATCATAGAATTGCCGAGGGGAAAAAGGTGAGTGGTGCACTGAGGTGCTTGTGGAGACAAAGAACTTTATCCTTGAAAGCAAAGAGGGGAATGTATGAGAGTATAGTTATACCAATGCTCTTGTACAGGTGTGAGGCATGGGTTGTGAATGTTGCAACAAGGAGAAGGCTGGAGGCAGTGGAGATGTCATGTCTGAGGTCAATGGGTGGTGTGAATATAATGCAGAGAATCTGTAGTCTGGAGATTAGGAGGAGGTGTAAGATTACCAAAACTATTATCCAGAGGGCTGAGGAGGGGTTATTGAGATGGTTTGGGCATGTACAGAGGATGGAATGAAATAAAATGACTTTCAGAGTGTATAGATCTGTAGTGGAAGGAAGGCCAAGTAGGGGTCAGCCTAGGAAAGGTTGGAGGGAGGGGGTAAAGGAGGTTTTGTGTGTGAGAGGCTTGGATTTCCAACAAGTGTGCGTGAGCATGTTAGATAGGAGCGAATGGAAACAAATGATTTTTAGGACTTGACGTGCTGAAGAGATTGAGGGAAACCGGCAGGCCGAACTTGATTCCCGTAGATGGGAAGTACAGTGACAGCACTCTGAAGGAGGGGTGTTAATGTTGCAGTTTTATAACTGTAGTGTAGGCATGCCTCTCCCAAGACAGTGATGGAGTGAATGATGATGAAAGTTTTTCTTTTTCCGGCCACCCTGCCTTGGTGGGAATCGGCCAATGTGTTAATAAAAAAAAAAATTCATGAGATCAGTATGACTCAGTTATAGAGGATTATAATGCAATACTCCCATTGAGAGGGGTGCTTGGATTCTAGTGAAGGCAGTTGTTCCAAGTAATTGGCATAATCCTCCTCTTTCTTGGATCAAACCTGATTACTAATTTCCCTGGTGCTGTATGACTTGCAGGTTTAGCTTTTCCCCATGAATATAATGGTAACACTGCTTTTCCTAGCATTCTGTCAGATATTTGTGAAGATGTAGACTGATGTCAGGTGTATCTTATATTTTTTGAAGACTTTATATATTTTATTGTAAAGCTTAGAGAGAAATTAACCTGAAAAATACATTTTCTTTATAATTTTCAGAATGTATTCAAGGTGTCTGGATCTTTTCCAAGGGCTCGGCTGACAAAATTAAGGCAAGAGTGTCAAACAGAAGTACTAGCTGAAGTTAAAAAATAATTTTCTTTTTAAATTGCTTTCATCTTCATGGAAGATAGTAGTACTTAACAAATTCATACTCAGTGAAGGATGTATGCTCCTTTTTTGGCAGCTTCATCTGTCAAGTATTCCTTAGGTACTGTTTAAACATTTTTAATTTATACAAATCTTCAGTTTCATATTAGATTAAATAACATACTTGACTTCACCAGATTTATTATTATATTCATTTCATTTTAATAATAAGCATTTATTAATTGCACTTGCACTTTTTTCTAATTTTTCTGTTTACAGAAAAAATACCAATCTGAGTTTTGCAACTGAAGACTTAAGTGTTTTGCAGTTGTGTAAAGTTAATTACTCATAACATATAACACACTGGTGGTGATGCAGCATTATACTCTTCTTGGTATGAGGATCTCTCTACTGTGATTTATATTAAGTTTATTGTTTTAATTGCTGTTTCTGCATTGTTTAGTCAACTCAGAAACTTGCTCATTGTATCACTGAGTATATAATTTACATACTGACTGCTGATTTGAAGACTGCCCTTAAAACTAATACTGTATTATTTTGTACTTTTTTTATATAGTTTTATTTTATATTTTTAAAAATTGATTATATAATAGGCACGTATTCACGTTTAGGGCTGTATGGCCCATGTGGGTTTAACACTTTTTTTAATATTTGACAATAATGAATTAGCCATTGATGATTGCATGGAGAATGTAGTATATGTTTGAGGATTTAATGTGCTGTTGGAGTATTAGCAAGGTAATACTGTGATTGCTCTCTTACTTGACCTTTTTTACCCAAAATCATGTTCATCACTTTTTAGTTTGGATACCAAAACAATCAGTTAGCCAATTTAGGCAAGAAAAAGGGACCAAAATTTGCCAAAAGAGAAAACAAACTCAAATGTGCCCATTCAACATTATTCAATTTCAGTGTAATTTTACAGTACACCATGTGCACTTCTATAACAGAAGTTTTTATGTCATTATTTTATTGTTATTATTACATTACTTGTGGGCCAGTTTCATGCATTTATATTAAAAAAGATCTCAGAACAAAACTAATAAATCTACATTGTTTTATGAGGGAGAGGAAGAACATATGAATGACTGATAGCTTTGTCACTGGTGCTATCAGTGGAAGCTGCAAGCAAAATAGGTGTTACTCTGTCAACTGCAGGCAAAATAGGTGCTACACTGCCAGGACTAGGCAAGGTAGATGCTACTGCATTCCTGGCTAACAAACAAGGTAAATGCTACTGCATTCCTGGCTAACAAGCAAGGTAAGTGCTACTGCACTCCTGGCTAACAAGCAAGGTAGGTACTGCTGCACTCCTAGCTAACAAGCAAGGTAGGTTCTACTGCACTCCTGGTTAACAAGCGAGGTAGGTGCTACTGCACTCCTGGCTAACAAGCAAGGTAGGTGCTACTGCACTCCTTATTAACAAGCAGGGTATGGTATGTAAAGATATGTTATTTTTCTTTTCCTACATTTATCAAATACTTCAGTTTTTGTATACCCAGTACATTAATTTTATGTATGTGTAGTGATCTTGTGTATTTGGTACAAATTTGTCAAGAAATATTAATTTAATTACATATTTAGATGCATTTCAGAGTGTAGTTTTCAGTTTTTAATCAAATGCATTTTTTCTGTGTATAATAATTTTTGGAGGTGTGATGAGCTAATATTTGTTTAGTACAAATTGGTCAAGTAATATAAATCTTTAAAATATTTTGGCATTAGTAATGAAATATTGTTAATATAAATATCATTTTAGCTCACTGCATTAAAGTGTGTTGTCAGAATAAGCTCAGTGATGAATTCTATTCAAACACTGTAACTAATATAAAGTTAAACTAAAAAATTGTTGCTCTTCAACCAAAATGTTGATTACAGGAACAGACTCTGTCTTTTTCAGTTCTGATTTGAGAGAGAGATCACTATATCTCTGAATTCTTTCAGGAAAATTGTCTAGCTGGATATGAGTTTTGGAGGTGAGGAAGTAGATGTTATTACCTGCTTTTTTAATGTCATTCATATGACAGGATGATAGTACCTCCCTGGACAGTACTGTGCATCATAAAAGTGACTAAATTATCAGGGGCAAGTAAGCTGCACCCTTCCCTGTATAATTAATAACCAGATACGCATAAAATATATTTTTCTTCTTAAATTCAGTCGTTTTTCACTTGAGTATGGAGACCCAGAGATAACGTAAACTATCATTTTCTCTAACTATTTTTCCAATAGGATACAGACCACAATATAATGCTGATGCACCAAATCACATCTGCATCCTTCTGTATTGTTCTATATTCTATGAATACAGAACAGTAAAAATTAAAACTGTTATATATTTGAATGTCATTCACTAACTAAACTTATATTGGTGAATAAGCTGGTTTGAGAACTGTATATTCATAACAATTAACTAGCATCCCCTGTACCATTAAAAGATAAGTGCAACTATAGGTTACATTAGCATAAGATTATATTTGGCCAGATGGCTAAAACATTATTTAGTAAGTAGTGAACAACTGCAATCACCAAGAATAAAATATGTACAATGATACACATGTGTATGGTACTTGATTCTCACTTCAGGGTTGAACCCACAGTGATGCTATCCATGTATGGTATTTGTAGAAATAAATACAGTATAATTTCAATGCAGCTTTACAACAGATTAATTTTTTAAAGAAAATTAAATGCTATGAGTGTATTTGTACTGTAGTCACAAATAGATGATTATAAACACTTGAGGTGTACCATAATATCGTTTCTATTTCTGTATATGTAAATTTTGTAATGGATAGGGTTGAATATATTTTATCTCTACAACCCAAATGGGTTTAGCACTTATTTTTTAATGATAAATATTTTGAATATATGTATTGTGTTTATCTTTGCTGATAATTTGGAGCCAATGTAAGAGACAAAAACAGTAGAAGGAAGAGTGAAGTGGATAGTTGCATGGTCAGCAATGTGTGATCTTCTGGTTTCCTATAGAGGTACAGTGGTCCCTCAATAATCGTCCGGCCTGAAAGTCGTCCATTTCGGAAATAGTCCTGTTTTTTCGTCTAAATATTGGCTCGCAAATGGTCCGGTAACTCGCTAATAGTCCTTCGTCCCGGACGCGTACTCACGCTCTGAGCCGCCTGGGCCTTCCCTTCCCAGCCAGTGTGCCTTTGTTTACCAGTGAGCGCCTTCCCTTCCCAGCCAGTGTGCCATTGTTTACCAGTGAGCGACGGTCCCCTCACGTGCTCCAGCGAAATATTTCATAATATTCCATTTATTTTAGTGCTTGCAAGTTATTTAAGTGCTAAATAAGCTACCATGGCTCCAAAGAAAGCTCCTAGTGCCAAGCCTTTGGTAAAGAAGGTGAGAAATACGATTGAATTTAAGAAAAACATCATTGAACAATATGATAGTGGCGTACGTGTGGGCGAACTGGCCAGGATGTATAACAAATCCCGTACAACCATATCTTCCATCATAGCCAAGAAAAAGGAAATCAAGGAAGCTGTTGTTGCAAAGGGGGTAAATATGCTGACAAAAATGAGATCACCAGTACTCGAAGATGTTGAGAAGTTATTATTGGTGTGGATAAATGAGAAACAATTAGCAGGAGATAGTCTTATGACGTCGCTTATTTGTGAAAAGGCTAGGCAGTTGCATGACGATTTGGTAAAGAAATTGCCTGCAACTAGTGATAATGTGAGTGAATTTAAGGCCAGCAAAGGCTGGTTTGAGAGATTTAAGAAGCATACTGGCATACACAGTGTGGTAAGGCATGGTGAGGCTGCCAGTTCGGATCACAAGGCGGCTGAAAAATATGTGCATGAATTCAAGGAGTACATAAACAGTGAAGGACTGAAACCTGAACAAGTGTTCAATTGTGATGAAACAGGCCTCTTTTGGAAGAAAATGCCAAAGAGGACCTACATTACTCAGGAAGAAAAGGCGCTGCCAGGACACAAGCCTATGAAAGACAGGCTGACGCTAATGTTCTGTGCTAATGCTAGTGGGGATTTCAAAGTGAAGCCATTACTAGTGTACCATTCTGAAAATCCCAGAGTGTTCAAGAAAAACAATGTTATGAAAAGTAAATTGTGTGTGTTTTGGAGATCTAATAGTAAGGCATGGGTCACAAGGGACATTTTCGTCGAGTGGTTCAATGAAGTGTTTGGCCCTAGTGTGAAGAATTACCTCTTGGAAAACAAATTGGATCTCAAGTGCCTCCTAGTAATGGAATGCACCTGCTCATCCTCCAAACTTGGATGACCTAATTCTGAAGGAGTTTGGGCTCATCACAGTAAAGTTCTTGCCCCCGAATACCACTCCTCTCCTCCAGCCCATGGACCAGCAAGTCATTTCAAACTTTAAAAGACTCTACACCAAAGCAATGTTTGAAAGGTGCTTGAATGTGACCTCAGACACTCACTTGACCCTACAAGATTTTTGGAAAGAACACTTCAGTATTCTCCATTGTGTAAGCCTTATAGGTAAGGCTTGGGAGGGAGTGACTACCAGGACTTTGTACTCTGCTTGGAGAAAATTGTGGCCAGATTGTGTCCACAAGAGGGATTTTGAAGGGTTTGAGGCAGCCCCTGATGAACCTATGTCAGTTGTAAACTCTATTGTCGCACTGGGGAGTTCCATGGGGTTGGATGTGAGTTTGGAGGATGTGGAAGAGTTGGTGCAGGACCACAATGAAGAGCTAACCACTGAGGAGCTGCAAGAGCTTCAGCAGGAAGAGCAACAGATCGCAGCTCAGAATCTTGCTGCAGAGGAGGAGGAAGAGAGATGGAGGAAGGTGCCTTCAGAAATTAAGGAGATTTTTGAAATGTGGGGTAGGATGGAAAGATTTATGGAGAAACATCACCCAGAGAAGGATGTTGCAAGCCATATCGGCAACTTGTACAGTGACAGAGTCTTGACCCATTTTAGGGAAGTTTTAAAGAGACGCCAGAAACAGAGCTCTCTGGACAGTTTTTTTGCGAGACAGGAGTCCAGTGACTCTCAAGCTGGTCCTAGTGGCATT